CCCGAGCACCCCCCCCCCCCCCGCAGTACTTACAGCCGGTCGTAGCACATGACCGAGTCCAAGGTGTGTTCTCCCTCCTTCAGCTCTTTCCCCCCTACCACTAAGATGGAGTTTTCCGCTTCTCCCAGCCCGAAGAGGCAGCGTGGGGATGGCAGCGGGGGCATGCCCAGCCAGTCGGAGTCCAGGTGATCATACTGCAAGGAGATGGAGACCTGTTAGCGTGCAGTAGGCCGTGTCCTGCTCCTGTTCTAGTGCAGCAGGAGCAGACTTACTTATGCTGTGAATTGGTTTAATCAAAGCGCCAGGGGCCAGATGTGCTGAGTTGTGTCCTACCAGTCCCCTGGGGCATGCCCTCCTCCACATGTTGCTGCAGAGAAGTGCCAGGCTTAGTTCTCGGCAGGCCCTGGTCCTGCGTGTTTCCCTCCACTCCCTGCCTGCATCTGTCTGTTGTCCGTGGTCTTACACTTGGGGCATTTCTTTGGGCCAGATTGTACAGCACCTAGCATGCTATGGCTCCCGTCCAGGATGGCGAGAACCCAAGTGGAAGCAGAGTGAGCTGCGCTTCCAGTGTGAGGGTTTGGTGCATCTATGTATAGCTCAGTTCCCCTGGGATGAAGCGCTCTCAGCCTTTTCTTGAGCAAGCACTGAGCTATGAGGAGCAGAGCACTAGTGCACCAGGAGCGGTTACTACAGGGATCTGAGTTGGAGCTCAGTTTCCCAGTCGTCAAAGACACCAGGCGGCAGCTCATCCTTGAGCGTTGACTGTCCACTGTCCATTATCCTGGCCATGTCTTCTGAGAAAGCTAGGAATAAAATGTCCTTTTCCTGGCTTGCGTTGCATCCTTTTCCCCTTTGTACTCTCCTTTGTTTCTTCACGGCTCTCTCCAACTGCTTTCCTGCTTGTGCGCTGGTTGCTCAGTAATTATCTGCACTCTGCTGGGAACACTGTGTGCTAACACATTGTTTCTTGGAATGATTTTGGACCTCTATAAAGTCTGCGTGTGCATATCCATGGGGGGGGGGGGGGGGGGGGGGGGGG